CCCCCTGTGTGACACTGTGTGTGTGACACCCCGTCTGTGACACCCCCCGTGTGTGACACGTCATGTGCCCTCCCCACGTGACACTTTGAACCGCGGTGACCCCAAACCATTGCGAAACTCCCCCCGAGCAAAGGGCGGTGCCCGGCAGCTGCCAAAAATCCTCCCCAAAAATCCTCCCCAAAAATCCTCCCCAAAAATCCTCCCCAAAAATCCTCCCCAAAAATCTCCTCCCCAAAAATCCTCCCCAAAAATCCTCCCCAAAAATCCTCCCCAAAAATCCTCCCCAAAAATCCTCCCCAAAAATCTCCTCCCCAAAAATCCTCCCCAAAAATCCTCCCCAAAAATCCTCCCCAAAAATCCTCCCCAAAAATCCTCCCCAAAAATCCTCCCCAAAAATCCTCCCCAAAAATCTCCTCCCCAAAAATCCTCCCCAAAAATCTCCTCCCCAAAAATCCTCCCCAAAAATCCTCCCCAAAAATCCTCCCCAAAAATCCTCCCCAAAAATCCTCCCCAAAAATCCTCCCCAAAAATCCTCCCCAAAAATCCTCCCCAAATCTCCTCCCCAAAAATCTCCTCCCCAAAAATCCTCCCCAAAAATCTCCTCCCCAAAAATCCTCCCCAAAAATCCTCCCCAAAAATCCTCCCCAAAAATCCTCCCCAAATGATCCCCGCTGGAATAATGATCCACTCTGGATTAATTAATGATCCACTCTGGATTAATTAATGATCCCCGCTGGAATAATGATCCACTCTGGATTAATTAATGATCCACCCTTGATTAATTAATGATCCACTCTGGATTAATTAATGATCCCTGCTGGAATAATGATCCACTCTGGATTAATTAATGATCCACCCTGGATTAATTAATGATCCACCCTGGATTAATTAATGATCCACACTGGATAAATGATCCACTCTGGATTAATTAATGATCCCTGCTGGAATAATGATCCACTCTGGATTAATTAATGATCCACACTGGATAAATGATCCACTTTGGATTAATTAATGATCTCTGCTGGATTAATTAATGATCCACCCTGGATTAATTAATGATCCGTGCTGGATTAATTAACGATCTCTGCTGGATTAATGATCCGCTCTGGATTAATGATCCGCTCTGGATTAATGAATGATCCCCTCTGGATTAATTAACAATCTCCGCAGGATTAATTACTGATCCCTGCTGCATTAATTAATGATCCAGGCTGCATTAATGAATGATCCCCGCAGGATTAATTAGTGATCCCTGGCTCAGGGATTAATTAATTAGGATTAATTAATGATGCCCGACTTCCAGCTGGCAAAGCTCTGGGCAGGGCCGGAGGTTTCCATGGAAACCGGAGAGGTTTGGGAAGGTTGGATCGGGGATTCCGGGGGAGAATCGATCCAATTCTCCCCAAATTGAACCAAAACTGAACCAAAACTGAACCAAAACCGAACCAAAACTGAACCAAAACTGAACCAAAACCGAACCAAAACTGAACCAAAACCGAACCAAAACTGAACCAAAACTGAACCAAAACGGAACCAAAACCGAACCAAAACTGAACCAAAATTGAACTAAAATTGAACCAAAATGGAACCAAAACTGAACCAAAACTGAACCAAAATTGGACCAAAATCAGCTGGGGCGGGGCTGATCCGTAGCTTTTACAGCGGGGTGAGAAACGCCGGGGACAGCTGGGGACATTTGTGGACATTTGTGGACATTTGGGGACATTTGGGGACATTTGGGGACATCTGGAGACATTTAGGGACAGCTGGGGACATTTGGGGACAGTTTGGGGTCAGGGAACCCACGAGGGGAGAGCCCCCCCAGAGCCCCCCCAGAGCCTCCAGGCCAGAGCCGAGGGACAGAGGGACAGGGATGGGGACAGAGGGACAGAGGGACAGAGGGACAGAGGGACAGAGGGACAGGGGGACAGAGGGACAGAGGGACAGAAGGACAGGGGGACAGAGGGACAGATGGACAGAGGGACAGAGGGACAGGGGGACAGAAGGACGGACAGACATGGTGACAGACGAGGGCAGGGGGCTGGGTGTCAGCGGGAGGACGGACACACGGACATGGGGGGTGCAGACAGGCAGAGAGACAGACAGACAGGCAGAGACAGACAGACAGGCAGACAGGCAGACACAGACAGAGAGACAGACAGGCAGACAGGTGGACAGACAGACACAGACAGACACAGACAGGCAGACAAGCGGATAGACAGGAAGACAGGCAGACAGACTGACGCAGACAGACAGGCAGACACACAGGAAGACAGGCAGACTGACTGACTGACACAGACAGACAGACAGACACAGGCATACAGACACACACAGGCAGACAGACAGACAGGCAGGCAGACAGGCGGACAGACAGACGGACAGAGCCCGGTCTGTGGCCACACAGCACCTTGTCCGGTCCTGCTTGAGCAGCCAGCAGGATACAAGTGGCCAGAACCAGATGGCCAGACAGACGGACAGGTGTGAGGGACAGACGGACAGGTGTGAGGGACAGACGGACAGGTGTGAGGGACAGACGGACAGGTGTGAGGGACAGACGGACAGGTGTGAGGGACAGACGGACAGGTGTGAGGGACAGACGGACAGGTGTGAGGGACAGACGGACAGGTGTGAGGGACAGACGGACAGGTGTGAGGGACAGACGGACAGGTGTGAGGGACAGACGGACAGGTGTGAGCGACAGAGGCTGGACAGACAGACAGCCGGACAGACAGCTGGACAGGTGTGCTGTCATAGGCCGGACAGCCGGACAGACAGCCGGACAGACAGCCGGACAGACAGCCGGACACCCAGCCGGCCGCACCGGCAGAAGCCGCGGAGCCACCCGGCAGCCGCGGCCCCGCCGAGCCCCACCCCGGGGCGGGGAAGGGGAAAAGCCCCGAAAAGGAGCAAAGAAGGAAGGAGAAACAAACAGACAGACAGACCGACAGACAGACCGACAGACAGACCGACAGACAGACCGACAAACCCCGCGGCGGCGGAGCGGGGCCAGCTCCGCCGCCGGCAGCCGGGGCCGAAGGTCGGGCAGGGCGGACCTTGCCCAGCGGCCCCGCCGGTGCCACCGGCTCCCCGTGGCCATGGCGCTGCCCTCGGCTCTGGCCGCGGCCGTGGCCGGGCTGCTCCTGCTGCTGCTCCTGCTGCTGTCACCCGCGGCCAGAGCGCGGCTGCCGCCGCCGCCCCTCCTGTGGCACGACCTGGTGGCTTTCGCCAGAACGGCCGGCTCATCGCTGCGCTGCCGCCGCCGCCTGTCCCGCCGCCCCGCCGTCACCCTGCTCGACGTGTTCCGGCAGCACGCCCGGAGCCGGCCCCGCCGGCCGCTGCTGCGCTTCCAGGAGGAGATTTACACCTTCGAGGATGTGGAGAGGATCAGCAACCGCGCGGCCTGGGCGCTGTCCCGGCGCCTGGCGCTGCGGCCGGGGCGCACGGTGGCCGTGTTCCTGCCCAACGAGCCCGCGTACCTGTGGACGTGGCTGGCGCTGGCCAAGCTGGGTTGCCCCATGGCGTGTCTCAACTGCAACGTGCGGGGACGGGCCCTGAGGCACGCGCTGGAGGCTGCCCAGGCCACCCTGGTGCTCGCCAGCCCCGGTGAGAGGGGACAGAGGGGTGGTCAGGGGGGTTTCGGGGACATGGAGGGGTTCTGGTCGCCAGGGTCATCCCAGGGTCATCAGGAGGTTTTGGGGACATGGAGGGGATGTGGTCACCGAGGTCACCCCAGGGCATTTGGAGGGCTTTGGGGTCCTGGCAGGGTTTGTGGACACCAAGGGCACCCTGGGGTGTTTGAGGGGCTGTGGGGACATGGAGGGGTTGTGGTCACCAAGGTCACCCCGGGGTGGTCAGAGGGCTGTGGGGACATGGCGGGTTGTGGTCGCCAGGCCACCCTGGTGCTCGCCAGCCCCGGTGAGAGGGGACAGAGGGGTGTCCGGGGGGTTTTGGGGACATGGAGGGATTCTGGTCACCAAGGGTGTCCTGGTGCTCACCAGCCCCAGTGAGGGGATGAACAGAGCATTTGGGGGGGCTTTGGGGACCTGGCAGGGTCGTGGTCACCAAGGGCACCCCGGGGTGGTCAGGAGGTTTTGGGGACATGGAGGGGTTGTGGTCACCAGGGTCACCCCAGGGTGGTCAGGAGGTTTTGGGGACATGGAGGGGTTGTGGTCACCAGGGTCACCCCAGTGTGGTCAGGTGGCAGGGTTGTGG